TAAGAGACAGCAATTGGTACTATCCCAAAAAAGCAAGCCGGTAATTGAACATTTCCTTCCTTTATTGCACGAAAATTCAGAAATTAAGTTTTCATACCTCCATACAAGGAAATTTACATTGACTGTCAACATATCTTAAAAGAAACACATAAATAGGAAATTATAAGTAAAAAAAAAAATAGAAAGTTATGAATTGTTTCTTTAAAAATGTACAGTCATGGACGAAGCTCTAAGCATGCTTCTAAATGATTACATGCAATTCTTAATAAATTGTTGCAATATTTAGGAAACAGTCCATTTTCAAATGTCAGCTTGAACACACGGTATAGGCGAATAGTCATTTGTATTAGACTACTGTAGCTCCACGTATGGATAGGATTGGATTGTATTATAAGGTATGTTATTACTGAACGTAAACTAGGTGATATTTCTGTTGACTGGTAAACAGTGCGATAGTGTTTGGTTATTATGATCTTGTTTTTCCTTAGTTTCTTTGGATAAAATTTGTATCAATTTGGGGATCTTTTTTTTTCCTATTATTATGCATAGTTTATTTTTATTGTAGATTTTAAAATACTTTAATAATGAAATGCTTTGTTGTTTTTTTTTTTTGGTTTAAACAGCAGAAAGTACAAAAAAAGAAGAAAAAGGAGAAAGAAGATATTATCGAGATCCAAGGGCATCGTTTCCATGGATACCAATTCAACATCCCCACCCTTTGTGAATCATGCAACAGTTTCTTGTGGCTGATGGAGAAGGGTCATGTTTGCCAAGGTTAGTAAAGAATTATGAACACACAAACACTTTGCATAAAATATTGGTTATTTATAATAAGCCACTTTATAATTTGAGCTGCGCATGGCCATATTGACGGTTAATTGACATAAACAAATATTTAGCACATACAATCTAGGCTAGGCCGTGCTAAGTATCGGAGTCGGCTTGGCCTTAGGAATTGTCTGAAACTAGTTAATTCTGGTACATACTGGTAGTTTAAAGAATACTTGCATCATACGGCTAATATTTAGCATAAAAATACATAACTGACATTACATATAGCTTTCTAACAAAGGCCATGTCAACTTGGAGCCCTATGTATATGTTAAACTTTTGTTTATATCGATCGATCTCCAATACGGGTGTGCGCAGTTCAAACTATGAACTGGCGTATTGGATTTTATTTTTAAGTTAAATAATTAGTTAGTTAATCAAGAGCTGATTGAGTGCTGTTTGATATTCACTTTCAACATCCTGCTTTGTCGGCCATCATTTCCTTTAATTCTAACTCATTGAATACTACATTATATCCTGTCTGCTGGTGGTTTAAAAACATATCTTGTCTGCTGGTGGTTTAAGAACATTATACATTACATAGTCGTTTATTGCCTTGAGAATTAAACATTTTTGGATAGGGACCTATAGTTTGCCAACCTATTTCATGGTGACCCACCACAAAAATACCTACTACCTAAAAGTTTGAAAACAGTTATGTTGATATCTATTCAAAAGTACAGTACCTTTTTATTTGTGGAAAAAAGGCACAATTAAAGTCATAAAAGGTCTGAGTAATGTGGTTCCATTGCCCTGACAAGTAAAGTAAGTCCATGCCTGGGAGGGTGGGGAGTACGGCACGAGTGCAAAGAGCATAGTTAATTTGATCTTCGGGAAGAAAAACAAATTTTAAGCAGTTTATGCTTAAAGTTGTAATCTTCTAACGCTCCTAAGTTTCTTTCATTACATGTTTCTCAGGCATTCATTATTTAAACCATTTTAGTGAGTTGGCTGACATGCTTAAATTTGCTTTGTTGTAGGTGCAAATTTATTAACTTAATAATAGGTGGTTGGCAAGCCTGTGCATGGTAACTGGAAGTTGTTAATTAGATGTCAGTTGTACAATTACAGCCAACTGTTGTTAATGAGGAAATGGTTGTGTTTTAGGGTGTTACTGTGATACTGAATAAGTCATTGTGATGTCACTGCCGAACATCAATTCTGAAACTACTAGAATTCAGAAACCAAAACTCTACATTTACATATTATTTTAGAAAAGTTAGTTTAACAGTTTTCAGTTATATTACTTAATTGATCCAAATGAGATACCTTAATTAAAAAGGAATTAAATTGGTGGTTCTACCAAGATGCTTATGCCATGCACAAACTGTGTCATGACAGATTGTTTTAGAGAATGATCTGGTCAGACTGTCACCAGTGTTGCATGCATCTTCAAATGCTCGAACAGATGCTGGCCAACGCAAGCAATACCAACCTTTATTTCTGTTCCTGTAAATTTTGACGATCAAGCTGAAGACTTTAGAAGAAGGAAATTCAAAACTCATATTCTTGTGTTTTTTTTAATTATTTTATTGATTTTTTTTCTTGTTTATTTAATAAAATAATGCTTCTTTCTTTTATTCCTTGTTAAATTATTATTATATATATTTTTAATTTGATATTCTATTTTTCTTTTTCTTAATCTGTAAGTTTTATGTTATGTATAGCATTTTGTATAAGAACTAATTCTTAAATTATATCAGTATATATTTTATTTCTGCTATATTCTTTTCTGTCTGAGACAACAGCCAATAATAGAAACAGATATTTTATTTTTATACACTTTTATATTTATTTTTACTCTTTCAGATTGCAAGTTTACAGTGCACAAAAAATGTATGTCAAAGTTGATTGGAAAGTGCAAAGGTCAACCAGTCGGCAAGCATGGTCAAGTATTTGGTTCTAGTCTCTCCACCTTAACCCGCGGAAGTTGCGCAATTCCTAAAATCATTGAAAAGTGTATCTTTCATATAGAACTGCATGGACTTTATCAAGAGGGTATCTACAGAAGGCCTGGACCAGAGGCAAAGGTTAAAGAAATTAAATTACGGATTAATTCCGGAGAAGGTAAGTTTGCAGATTCAGTGACAAATTAATTAAATGATGTGGTTTTTATTTGTAATTTGCTTGGGATATACATTATTACAATTTTGTCTGTCAGACTAGATAGACATTATTTAATTAGACTTATCTGATCAGACAAAAAATTTCCATTATGTTAACAAGTTACCTTGCTTTTGAATATGAATAAATTATATTGATTAACAAAAGAAAAAAATATAAAAAAGTATAAATGGACTTTAACGTTGTTTCTAGAAGTCATTGACTGATTGATTGACGGATTGTTTGATTGACAGCGTATGACGGATGTCAATTTCTTTCAGTTGTTAAACGTGATTGGCATTTTCTCAGACCCAAAGAAATTGTCTCCGCTGAGCCCAGCAAATGCTGTCACGTTCTGCTTTATCTTGAGACGCCAAAGTTCACCTCACCTCTAATAATGTGCAAATTTCTGTGGTAATTGGTAAACTGATTAATTACATCAGAGTTTGTGTTGGTTTAATTTCCTAATTACAGGTTTAACCTCTAAAGACAAAAGTTCACTACCAAATTAAATCCCATTTTCACCACCAAAATGCACAAAAACATGCCTAAATTTGTGTACTGTATCCTATGTGTTTTCTTTTGTTAGCTAATTCAATTATTATCAAAGTTACCATAACGGTTTAGAACTTTATTTTTTTTTTGCTTGTATATTTCCAATGTCTGGTTGAAAATCAACTTTGTCACCGTTTCTTTCTGAATCCTTGCTACATGCTAAGTACTTTGAAACTTAAATGCAAATTTTAAACTTCGTTCGCAAACATCGAGACTGGTACATAGGTAATTTAATTATTAAGTAAAGAATACAACCTATAATAAGTAGCCTTTGATTTTATTTGTTGTTTGGTTTTTAACATTTATTCAGTTTAATATACAGTATATATAGGCCTATATATATATCATATATACATATATATATATATATATATATATAAAATGTATATATGTAAATACTTTAAAAGATAAAATTTAAAATTATAAGATTATTACTATTACTACAATTATTATGAATTGGAATATTTATTTGTTTAAGCTTGTAATACACCATGTAGGTAGTTCTGAAAAGAACTGTTGTAGTTGAGAAAGTCTCGACGTTTCGATTGAGTTGCTTCAATCATCTACATGAGAATAATATCTGTAGAAATTCCAAACAGGGAAATACTTATATGTTGGCTGATGGTTGGATGAATAAACTGACCAATGAGAAGACTGCTAGTGATTAGGCTGAAACAAAAGCCATTGAAAGGGTGGGAACGCCAAAACAAAGGCATAGTTCCAGTGTGGCGGGAAAAGGGGTTGGAACGACCAAAAACAAAGGCATAGTTCCAGTGTGGCGGGAAAGGGGGTTTGTGAACGACCAAAAACAAAGGCATAGTTCCAGTGAGGTGGGAAAAGCTGGGGCTGCTTGGCTAGGTCCGATTAAACATGGACAGCCAAATATGGCTAATGATAAATCCAATATCTTGATGTACTGTATTGTGTTTGTGAATTTCTGTGGCTTCTCTGGTCCTTCTGGAGTGCCAAGATGGTACAGTGGCTATTAGTTCGGCTTTGTTCCAATGTACACGGTGTTGTTGACTGTGGGAGTGCATGACTATAAATTTTTGTTGTTCCCCTCTCCTGGCATGGCCTTGGTGTTCCTTGAGCCTAGTATGGCGATCTCATCCTGTTTCACCAATGTAAACCTTCCCACAATGGCTTTTGTTTTAGCCTTATATTAGCAGTCTTCTCATTGGTCAGTTTATATTCATCCAACCAGCAACCAGCATCTCTACCCAATCATATAAGTATTTCCCTGTTTGGAATTTCTGCAGATATTCTCCTGAAGACGATTGAAGCAACTCAATCGAAACATCGAGACTTTCTCAACTACAACAGTTCTTTTCAGAACTACCTACGTGGTGTACCGCAAGCTTAAACATAAATGGAATATTTATTGTCATCAGCAATTTCAAAGTTGATAATAAACATCTTAAATTAAACAACAATTAATCAAATTTCTTAGAATATTTAAACAAAAAATTACTGATATTAGAAAATTAGAGAGCTACATGAATTTCCAATGAATAATGAATGATATATTTGCACTTATAACACCTCACATCCCCACTTCAAACCCCTATAGACATGCATGACTCAAAACACATCAGAACATAGGCTACTCAGACAAAAGGTAATGAACGGTTCAGCTAAGCCCTACCCTTGCATATTGTTGCTAAGGTTGCACAAAAACGTTCATCTTCGGACAACACATGTTTGTAGGACAAGCGCATATACCTGGCCCTGGTATGATCACTTGCTATGTTTGAAAAAGGGTCCATTTACCATAAAATTGTTTTAGGCAATTGTGATTAATCATTTATTATTTACTATTTCAGATGTTGACTCAATCGACCTGACGGTATACTCAGTTCTTGTAGTGGGTCAAGTCTTAAAAGCATTCTTCAGAGAAATGGCTGAACCTCTGATCACTTGCCAACTGTACGATGAGTTTCTGCGAACCACACAGATCATCGATCACAAAGAAAGGGTCGCTGCACTTCAGGAAGCCATCGAAAAACTTCCACAAACAAACCATGCATTATTTGAGCGCCTTATTTTTCATTTAGCACGGTAAGAATCATTCGAGTGTTATTCCTGCTTTTTTCATTTAGTTACGATTAAGCTTGCATAATCCTTTTATGTTTTTTTTTTTTGTAAATGGAAGTATGACAAATGCACCATCTTTTGGACGAGACATTTAAGCTGTTAATCCTGTGTGCAATATGGCCCATATGCAGTAGCCTCTTAAGCCAAGAGTAGGGGATTGTCTGTCGGTGTACTGCCCAATCACCAACAGATGGACCTTACTGGAAATAAGTCTTCCGACTTTTGCGGGTTATCTGTGGTGTTCATGCCAAATAAATCTTACCCGAATCTGTTGCATAAATATGGAAAGAAACTTTAGAAAGCAATTAAATATTAAATTTAGGGGTCCCAAGTTTGAAGAAATCCCTTTTTTGAGATCTGGGTAAATACACTTTCTTAATATTTTTAATTTTATATTGTGCATGATGATACCCATCAGCACTAACTTCTGTGAGACAATTGATAGTGAAGTAGTAAAAAAATTTAAATATGAATTTGCGGGAGATTCTTGCTTGCTTGCAGGAGGAGGGCCACCCTGATTTCCAGGGGCCACCCACGACTTCTGGGAGACTTCGACCCCCGTCAATCGCTCATTTAAAAGGATTGAATGTACAGTTTATCTCTATTCCAAATGAATTTTTTAAAAGGATCGAATAAGTATTTTTAGCACAATACAGGTAAAAGATTATATTGGCATCACTGCCTCTTTATGATGTAACAAATCATTTTATGATTTGATCTGTCGTTTGCCATTTATGGTTGTACTGTATATTGAATCTTTAGCTTGGCAGTTAAATGTTTAAATCCCAAGGTTCTGGGTTCAAATCCTGTACAACTCCATTTGCTGTCATAAGCCTCATAATGACAAATGGTTCCATCCAGTAACTGGCAAGTGAACCTACTTATAGTCATGAAGAAGATATGTCAACTTCTCATATTTATAAATACTTATTCATTGGTTGGGATGACACTTTGATTTAGGTAGGATTAACTAGATTAAGGAAATGAAGTTCCAACTGAAAGTCAAACTTTCTGAGAAAGCCCACCCTTGAGACAACTTGTAGTCGAGGATGGGTAGTCATCATTAAATAATTCGAGGGTCTAAGATCCTATTTCCTTTAATGACATCTTATTAACACGTACTGCAGTGCATTTTGGGTTTTGCAAGACATATTTCTTTATATGATATCAATTTAGGTCAAGTGTACAAGTAACCGTTTTGAAATGATAATTGTTGGGATGCGTGTGTGATTGAAACTTACATTAAATATTTTTATTAATTAAATTTTTATTTGGTTTTAATGCAAATATTGAGGTTTTTCCTGATTGCACCACAAATGGTTTATCTGAAAATGTGTGTGCCAATTCACTTGTAATTGATCATAATTACGTCGGAATGAATTTAGATCTATAGGATCATATTCCCTTTGTGAGGGATTTTCCGTACTTTTACAACAGACAAATAACATACATTCTCGTCTCGCGTATAAGGCGACCCGTGTATAAAACAACCCCCAAGTGTGAGAAGATTTTTGGACAATTTGTACTGGGCCCTGTGGGAGAACAGTAGATATGCTACTGAACAGGTTTTCCCAGTATAAAGAAAAAGAAATAAATAAAAAAAGTATTTAACATTTTATTAGCTTCATTGCAGTAGTAAATTCGCATGTTATGGACGATCCCCACAAAAGACGAAAATTTGTATATTGTGTGTATAAGGCGACCCCTTGTTTTTTTTAATCGTAAATTGCTATTTTAAGTCTCGTCTTATACACTGGTATATAGGGTATGTCATTAATATATTGCCATCTTTATTAATCAGTCAGTAACCGAATAGCAAAGTACATTTAAGACATTTTATAAAGTGTGGTTTGGGTCCAATTCTAGTGAACAATTTCATATCAAGCCTTGTTATCCTAGAAATGGTAATTCATTAAAGTATGATCTCATCAAGTAATTAAAAATGTACAATGCTAATTATTATAAGACAAATTAAATCTATAATAGTAACTTTAAATTGAAAACTGAGTTAATAATTGAACATTACAGATAATTGTGCAAACAAATTAAAATCATTGAATGTAGAAGGGATCTCCACAAGACAAGTACACATGAACCACATAGCTAACTGGATTGTACTATAAATATATTAATTGATATTTGGCCTTATGTGCTGCATGTCACGAAAAAGTCTATTACCTGTCTCTTATACACATCTAGATGTGTATAAGAGACAGTTTTTGAATATTGATGACAAAAAACACCAAAATTGGATCCAGGTTGCTTAATTCTAGAGTGTATTGATTTCTATTACATTTGCACCTGCACAGCACAGTTATTTATTGTTGGCTTTTTTTTTTAGTTTTTTCTCATACATCATATAAGGTTATTTTTGTATAATTTTGATCACTGTTGTATGTTATACAGGATTGCTTTGAATGAAGAGTACAACAAAATGTCAGCCAGTAACCTTTCCATTGTGTTTGCACCTTGCGTTCTTCGAAGCCCAAGGCAACATAATCCTTGGGAGGCATTGCAGGATGTCTCCAAACAGGCCAGGTTTGTTGGTTTTAATTTTGTTGATTCAAGATTAATATTTTTTACTAATTTTTTTAAATATATTTAATATATAAATAAAATACAAACTGATCCAGCACAATCAGAACAAATGGTTTAAAAAAGATAAAGCAATATAGTTACATATAAAAAATTTTAAAAAATTTAAAATGCGATTTGTAATAACCAGCTATATCATATAAATCATCAAAGGTACATATACAGTGTTTAAATAAGGACATGATGGAACATCGTAGGCTACCCTGTAACTTTTCAACGAATTCGTTTGAAAGCTGCAGGGTAGCCTACGATGTTCCATCATGTCCTTATTTAAACACTGTATATCTTTGATGATTAATATTATATTTATTCAACAGTGTTAACGGCTAACTCCCTTCAATATCATCTATATCATGACATTCTAATATCTGCCTACATGTTATAATAAATCACCACATTTATGTAGTACATGGCATTTTTTTTATTCATGCTGGTATTTTTTAAATAGGAAGATGATTAAAGAATTGATCTAAGGCTTGACTAGAATAATTTAGGATCAGATATTTTACATAGTTGAGTAGTAGTAATTTGATGTAGCTGACAATATTTGCATATATTGTAAAATATCGTATAAGTAAAAACACCTCAAGGCACTTTATAAAGCAAGTAATAGACTTTAATCGTGATCGCGGACTCATCGAGCCCAATCGTATAGCAAACATGTTTCGAGAAAACGATTCTCATCATCAAAATTAAGGAAGCTTTGCATATTACCTGGAACAATCCATCCCTTAATAAGCAAATTTACAACTTGAATATCACGCTCGCTGTTTGATTCTTTAAACTAATCTACATAACAATCCACAGTGATGGGTGGTTGGCTACGTTTTGTGATTTGCTTCATTAGTCGTTTTTCTATTTGCTAATCTGCTTATTTACATACATGTGTATAAGGCCATATAAGCTTTGGCAAAATTTGTTATCCTTCGCACTGATGATGAGAATCGTTTTCTCGAAACATGTTTGCTATACGATCGGGCTCGATGAGTCCGCGATCACGATTAAAGTCTATTACTTGCTTTATAAAGTGCCTTGTGGTGTTTTTACTTTTACGAAATTGTAAAATATGTATTGTACCTTTTTATGTTCCCAGATATTTATTATTTTTTTTATTTGTCTTGATGTTGGATGTTGTTAGAACACCATTTAGAATGTACATTGGTTTCTGACAATGAACTACAGGTACAATTCATTAATCCTTAAACCATTCTACTGTTAACCCTTTCCACTTCTTCTTGTATTAAATTTTTTCCCTCAATAATGTATAATATTCTGTTTTTCTCATAGTTGCATTGAATTGATAATCTCACAGCAGATGCAAAAAGTTATGAGTACAATGAATGACATTCGAACGCTTGAGCGTGTCACAAACACAGCCAGTCTCAGACTCTCGGAACTGAGAAAGTCCATGGTAAGCATATTATTCCTATAATTATAATGATAATGATATAGGAATTTATACACAGCACTGGCAATGTTATTGCCTCTGTTAAGTGGATCCATAAATTGGCAAACTGGTTTTGTACACATTCTTTCAATGAGATTTGGTATATATAATCTTGTTTATAAGACTGATTTTCTAAAAAATAATTTTCTTTAGATCACATGGATCTACCAGTTTGATCTATTTGAAAATAACATGAACTCAATTTTTAACTTTCCATCCAAGTTTCACTTTTTTTGGTGAGACCTGACATACATCAATGCATCAGTTGGTGCAGAAGTTGCGTTTCTACCTTGATGTCAGGGGGTTCAAATCCCTTCCTGACTACTCCTAAACAACCTAAGTAAACATTTTTTTTTTATTTTTGCAGCATGAACATCGGAAGGACGATGAAATAGGAGTAGTATATCATGATATTGATATTGATCAGATGGGTCAGTCAGAACAGATCGAAGAAGCTAACCTTTTGGCAGAACACATCATATCATTAAAACAAGAAGTGTAAGTTAACTTTATATACTTACATCTTTAAATCATCGTAACTGTTGCAGTCCCTACAGCAGTAGAGGCTAAGCTGTCTGAAAAGAGGTCTGATAGTGGTTGATTGACCTGTCTTTGAATTGGTGCGAACCGATGTGCATTTTGGGGTATGGCTGTTTTTCTACAAGGAAATATTTATAATTTAATACCCAATGCTGTCAAAAATTGAGATCTCCTTGCGGGTCCTGGCACCCGTTTAGTTACAGGACTGTTAACTATTTGGATCCCAATGCGTCTTTTGGTCTGATAATTTCCAGTAGAAACCAGCTCATTTTAGAATTTTGGAAAAATTCAATATTAAAATGGATAATGATGAATACAAAAAATAAATTTCAAAGAAAAAGTCTCAATCCAAATCTAAACTTCACATCACATATTCTATGTTGCTTTTTCTTTATTAATTACAGTAAGGACCTCACTGCTAATCTTCCAACATTGGATGTACAAGCAGCAACCAATGATGGCTCATGTGGGATGCGTTCAGGTCACAGTTATCTCAGCGGCGTATACAATAACAATAAAGGTGTACAAATTGAGAAAGGTGTTTCCTTTGATAACCCACCTGCTCATCAACCGCTCCCAAGCTTCAAAAATCGCGCAACAGTTCATGAAAAACGAAGACCGACAAGGTTTGACCGCCATGACGCTGTAAGGCAACGACGCCCCGAATCATTGTCTGATGACGCCAGGAAAGGACCGCCACCGATTAAAAAAAGGGGTAGTAAAAAGAAATGAATAACAATTCATATTTAATTTATGTACATGTGTTAAATGTGTTTCAAACAATTTTCATTGTTTTATCCAGCTAAGGTTTAAGTCTTCAGAATTCAGGCTTCTGTTTACATTGTAAACATTTTAAAATGTTTATAGAGGATTTATTCCTAGTACCAGCTGTGGTCCCTGTTGTGTAATTGATCATGAAATGCTGTTGAAAGATATTATGTTACCATACATGTTTTCCACAATTTATTGTATCAGTATTTTTAATGATGAACATCAATGTGAATTTTAAATAGTGAGGAGTTGATGCCAGCCAACCAATCTGACATTCCTTATATGTATTCATTGAGAAAGAGAATCATTATTCTTTCTAATTTTGGTCGGTTTTTATCCATCAATTTGTTTATTTTTGCATTTTGGTCAAGATATATATTATTAAACAATTCTCACTTTAAATATGGATACATCTGGAAAAGCTTTATTTTTTGTAGAATTAATGATTTCCGAGTATTTAATGAACTTAATGTTTTGTAATAAATTATTCATTGTAAAGATATTGGTGGATTTATCAGTCACCATTATGAATATCTTGGAAGTTGAACAAAAACTTATACGTACAGTGCTCATTCCAAATTGCGCTGATATTATTCTTTTATATAATTATTGTAAAAACAACCACAAGCCTTTGGAAGTTATATAAACCTGCGTTAAGGTATTCTATAAAACTTCCATATATTTTGCTAAGAGTATCCTGCTATTACAGTAATCAACTATTTGTTATGTGGATATGTAAACAACCAATTGATTTGTATACAACTCAGGAATTATGTAACTTTTACCTTAGTATGTTTTGAAATAAACGCTACAGTTTATCTAACTTTGATGGAAATGGTACTCTTTATAGATTATCACAAATAATCAAACTACTATTTAGTTTTTCCTGTGTAAAAGTTTTGATAATTGTATTATTATTATATATTCCTGATGATAATGTTATTTTTGTTGATTTTAGAATATCATTTACATCACATTGCTTCCATGGATATAAATGTATTTCACTACAGCTGGGTCTGTTTTGAGACAGCATTGCTTAGCACTGGTTGGCTAAAATAGCTCTGCAAAGTATTTTATAACAAAACTTTTAATTATATTACATGAATAATTTATGAAATAGTGGGGTATAGCCATGTTATTCTGAACTATAGTAATAGACAGTAAAATGACAGGCAGCACTTTATAGACTTACAAATATTTATTAGCATAAGCTATCGTTCACACAGTGAACTTCTTCAGGTGACTGTACAAATGAAACGTCATCAAGCGCTTATAAACATGTGAGACAACTGAGTAAGGAGGAGTGTCCTCACTCAATATAATCGATTGATGATGTTTTATTTGTACAGTCACCTGTTTGTGCTAATAAATATTTGTTAGTCTATAAATTGCTGCCTGTCATTTTACTGTCTATCATAAATCCTGATTAAATCCTGGTATTTATGAATAAATATTAATTACAAATGTTATATGTTGAATACCTCCAGGTTCAGAAAAAAGTGTTTTATTTAACAGCAGAAATTCAGACAAGCCTGACACCTGGTATTAATTATGCTGAACACCTCTATATTTATGAATAATTAATGTTGTCAACACCTACAAGTATAGGCCAATTTATTATGATTTTTTTTTTTTTGTAACAAAACTTATACCATTGATGATACATTGCATCTTCCATTGATTAGAACGTGTTCCAGCCAAAAAAAAATTGAAGAGCTTAAAAGATAAAAATGACCAAACAAAATGCTAAATCTCCAAATCGCCAGAGAAATTTCTTCCAAATCAAGCTGTAAATAGTATTGTTGTTGTGGCGTGCAGTTTTACATAGTGAAGGTGTGACGCTTGGCATTATCCGCAGCATTAACATATAACCAATCATATAAAGATTAAAGTTACCAAAACATTTTAATACTATTTGTTACTTATATGATTGTTTTGGTAAATTGTTTAAGCTGACAAGATTTTTTTTAAACTTGATTTCAGAAAAAATTGGCCCCAAAACATATATTTCCCATAATGCATCTGCTGGTGGTTACTTCATAAAATGAATGGAATCTTGTCATACTGGTTTTTAATAGAGCTTTTTTCAAATATATGCAAGATTTAAATGGTTGGGTTATTTAAAAACTGGAATATATTTTTTACCATCATCAATTTCTTGACAATTATTATTATTGTCTTTAAAGATTTTTTTTCCATTACTGTTGCTGGTAATATTTTAAGTATTACGTGAAAGATGTTAAATCTTACTTAATTCACTGTACTGTATATTACCCATATCGTATCCTGAATTATTACTATGTACAGTTTGAATTTATTTATTATTTATTGTTCATTAATATATTTATTTTTTTAAGGATATTTTATAGCATTATACACTAGTCAAGTTAACAAAGTTTCTGTATCCATCGATTTTGTTTTTATATCCTGATTTTAATAGTAGTTTTATAGATATAATTTTTTTACACCCCAGTACATTTTTTGTGAAATATAAATTTTAATATTTTTTTACTTGTTGCCCAGAAATGTTCATTTTTTTTTTTGCTTAACCTTTGTTTTTCCTTTTCATTCTTCATCTGTCCTGCTTTGTTCTGACATAATTAGGGCACCTCTGTGGACACCAGCGCCTTATTATTATTGTTGATATGATGTGTAAATATTGTAATGAGTTGAATTGTATGAAGGTATCTCCGAGATGGTGTATAAATTTTTAAGATGATACTTTTAAATGTATCATTACTATTGTTGATGTTATTAATAATTATGACGACTATGATGATGATGGTATTATTATGATTATCACTATTTTGATGATAATGATTATTATTTTATTCAATTATAACTGTTATATTTTTTTGTATGATTGTAAGTGATTATACATGTACGTGATTAGGTGCAATACAATGAGAAAGAGCTACAAAGTTATCCATGTTAATTTAACAGCTATGTAGTACTCTTTGCTACTTTTAGTTCAACAATTTATCAAGTAATTTTGTATTGGCATAAATATAGTGATATATGTGATAATACTTAGTATATGATTGTTTATTTCTGTACTTGGTCTTTTCAAACAGCCCCTTTCCCATATACACAACGTCTGCTGTGGTAGACCATGATTTTTCAAAGTCAAAAACCCTTGATGTACTGTTGCAGTATGCATTTCAAAGTTTGAGATTAATCAAATTTTGCTGTGTGATGATACCACTACTACTACTACTACTACTAAATCTTTGTCATGACATTACTACAAGTGCATCAGTACGATAAAAAAGAGATACAATGAGTGAATATTTCAATGTTGAGAAATTCCAAGATTGCACCTTGGCATTATTTGTGGCAGACAAGCCAAAAAAATTTAGTTTAGTTTGTCTTTGCCACATTTTATAATTTTCCAAGATGTCATTATGAACTACAATCAACACATGGTATTAAAAACATGTTCTTAGTTAGTGGCATCGTATTAGCACCATAGCGAAGTATTGATTTGCATAAAAGTACATTTCAAATTCAAAGTAAAGGGGACTCAGAAATGCAGTTCAACCAAAAGGGGATGAAAATGAGATCTTTTGGATCTAATTGCTTTCATGTCAATTTACTTTCACTAATTTTGCATCTATTTTAGACTAGCTTGGACCCCTGCCATTCGATGCTAAAATGAGGTCATCGGACTAAAAATATTATTTTGCTGATCCAAAACAAAATTATTGTGACTGCATTCGCTACCATTGTGGTCTAAGCACAATTTTGGGCTGCCTGACCCATAAAATCTCCCATGACTTTCACAAGCAATTTAATTCAGGACCCTGACCGAAGCTCTAGACGACTGCTTTGTTCAGGAGCCACCACTGCATGCCACATTAAAGATCAATTATAGATGATACATACTCGCATGTACAGCAGCACTAGATTCACACAAAATGGTACAGAGCAGTACAGTTAATTTCTTCCATCCGACATCTTTAGTATTTTGGAGTTGATCATCTTTTACAGACTGTCGATTTATCAAAATCCCTGCTCATCAAAATCACTGTTGCTTTCACAGAAGCCCAAATATTCTTAACCATAGATTTAGTGTATTAGTTTACCATGGTAACACAAATGTGCATAGCCCTATACTCTACAATTAGGCCTATATAAAAAAGTGCCCCCAACCAACCCTTATTTCTATTTATGACTGCTTGGACAATTACAACAATTTTTCATCATTGTATATTCAAATATTTGTTGAGTTGAAAGACAAAAATTCTGTTTGTTTTCCTGATTTCAGAGCTGCTTTTACATTGTTTCCAATATTCGCATTTTAATAGATGATGTATAAATGGATACATTTATTGATTGTATGTATTCATGTTTGCCAATTGATTCATTTGGACACTTGGTATTAAAAATAGGCAAATCTTCACACAAATTGTAAAAATGTAATTACCAGCTTTCAGACTTCTCACTGCACCACAGCAGTCACCGGCATGTCCGACGGAGGGGTCAGAGCCAAGGGGTCGACGGCTCAGAATAAAAACTTCTTGTAGGGTTCACAGGGAGAATTTTTATTACTTAGCATGATCCAAAATGTGTTTTTAGACCACAATATTAGGGATTGGCAGGCAAAATAATGTTATTTAGATAGGCAAATTATTTTTTTAATTTTTCATCTGACAACCTAAGGTGTAAAAATGAACAGTTACGCCCCTTTTTCCCCCAGTTTTTAAATATTAAAAAATCTGTATCTCATTCACCATTCCACAGTTTTTCGTCAAACAACTTTTTTCTGTCTTAGAAAAATCAGTTCTACAACATATCAAAAATTTTTTTTCCTCCGGAGCCTGACTTTAAGCAATATTTAAGTAAAAGCAATATTGATAAATTTGACTTAAGATAAATTTAAGCCAATATCTAGTTTGATGAATCTGGCCCCAGGCCTGTCCGACTGGGGGGGGGGGGATTTCAGTTAGCTGTAATGCGAAACTGCATAGTTTGCTACAACGTAATGGTCTATGTTGCTATAATATATGCATTGCTGATATATATATATATATATTTTGAAATAAAACCTGAAACTTGAATCCATTAATACACTAATCCCAGCATTCTCCTTCTGTTGATTGTTCATTAGAAATTTCCTCCACAAAACAAGTTTCATTATCTTCAAATGCAGCCTGTAAAAAGCTATCATCATCTGATGACATTTCTGATCCATATTCTCTAGCATTTACAATTGCTGTTTCATCGCCACTAAGTTGAAATTCTTCGGATGTTTTTATTACTTCTCTGCAAAAAGGAAAGGACAACATCAAAATAGCATGTGGTAATCGTATTTATAACCCTATGTTTGTGCCCACAAACTCAGGAGGCTTTCTTTGTTCTACTTCAGTAGCAATCTTAAACATGTGCTAATCAAACAATTGTCCTCAAGACATTTAAGTTGCGACATGTCAGCCCAGTTAAATTATTAACACTAGTTTCTCTGGAGACACTTTGGGGAAAAATTATTGAATAAGCTAGCCCCAACCAATTACTATGATTGCATACAGCAATATTGGGAATTTAATGTCAACGTCTGGTTTACAATTTAATCCGATCTCCAAAAACCCTAGGCTCAATTGGTGAATCTCAGGCTTGTCATGCTTATCCCTTTACACACAAGAGTATAAATAGATACCTTGTTGAATGTATAGTAAATGTTTTTGAATGAAATTGGTCTGCGTTAAATTGAGTACATGCATAGCTATAATATCTCCCAAAGGAGCAGAGGTCGTATTATGATTGACTGTTTCTATTTCCGGAGGGGAAAAGGTGCTTCGTAACCCAGAAAAATGTGACATAATGCATCACCCTCATTCATGTCAAAATGTACCTTAGTTTTTCAACATCACTACATAACTCTGAAAGTTTTGGAAATTGAAGCATCTTTTCCAAAGGCACCAATACAAAATCCTCATCTGTTTCTTTCAGCAGCGAATATGCTAAAATGTTGTTGTAATACTGCACTTCGTATAAGATACGTTGCCTGATGTCCAACATGTTGCATTTTTTGAAAGGATGTACAGATTCAGACACCTTGAATAGAAAATCACAGAAATAAAGTCATTATCAGTTGTGAGCCAGTAGCAGGAGAGTGCAGTGTTGTCCTTAAATATAAGGCCTTCAGTTCAATAAGCCAATCGTGGTTTGAACTGCTCATATGCATATCCAGTGGTATCCAACGTCAATCGACATAAACCTATGTTGTGCGTATGTTTATACTGATTTACCTTGATACGAGCATGTATGTTGTAAATTATGAATTGGCTTATTGTGGATCTGCATCAAGACTTAACAATTTAGTGACTATTATCATCATCATTATCATCATCATTATCATGCATACACTTAAAATATAACATTAATTTTTCTTACTAATATATATGGTTGATTCTTCTCAACATCATCTTCAAGTTGCTTACCAAACGGTATGCTCTCCTCTAGTTTTCGGTTAAATTCAGCAATTTGTGTACAATGACCAAGATGTTGCTTATCAGGTGGTCCCAGCCCCACACCTGAGTAGGCCACAGTGTATGGATACTTTGAACAAACTTGTTCACACCTGCCAAATATTCAAGAGAAACAATGGCCTTATTCATCGACTGGTATGTTTCATTAACAATATTTCGAGTTTTATTTACATTCAGATGGTTTGTATAATAAACTTGGTTGACAACAGAACTTAACGTAAACAAAAGTGTGTTAATTTGCAGTAAGTTATCAACATGAGCATGATTCTATGATTCTATGTTATGTACAACAAATATCTCAGAATTTATTATTTTGACAATAAAGTTGACTTGTATCTTGTATGAGCAAAGCAAACACAGCTTATTTGTCAGTATAAGAAAATCATTTGCATTAATTTAATAATTGGGATTAAATTTCAGAAAAAAATTACAATATGACTACAGAAATAAAAAATTACATGAAAATATTTGTTTTATGATCTACCACAAGCCAAAGCAACATTGGCAATAGTAAAGTAAAATGCTGACGAAAATTAATGATGTTCTATTACGGTAACATTAGTATGTAGCACGTACCAATGTTGGAACTCTTGCCTTGTCCATTCAAATTTATGATCCCAATGTCTAAAGCCCGTGAAATTTTTGAAGAGAACATTAAACTCTGAATTTGGTGTTGTAATTACAACTGCTTGTGGTTTCATTAAACCAAAAATGGTTTCTGGTACTTTCTCCAGCACTTCTGGATGCAAGTGCTCTATGCTGTTGAGAAAAAAAGTAAAATCCAATATTTAAGTTCAATGCACATAACGGCTCATTGTACTTATCCATTGTTATTATTACTGTAATAATAATAATAATAATAGTTTGATTTGTAGAGCGCATCATGCGAAAAAGCCTCTATGCGCTTAGTGATTGAGCTCTTTGTATGTGTTCATCAGAAAATTAATTACCCTTAAAGCCGGGTATTCACTGCGTCACACGACGAATCCAACTCCACTTCCTGTGAGCGCCAGGCAACACAACGCCGTCTCCTGATTGTCGGTGGCACTCTGAACGGATCGTCATTAAAAACGATCTGCTGCGCGCTCATTGTCGCGTTCCATTCTTCATAGAATTGCATCGCGCAGTGAGTGCCGGCCTTAAAGATTGATGATGCAAGTAAGTTATTGGATCATGAATCTTGAATATTTCTAGATGATGTTCTGCTTTGTAAATTATTTTAGATGAACCTTCCATTTGGAGGTGTTGCCACGTATTAGTGTAGATTCCTAATTATTATTATAACAAAAATAGATCACAGATATATTATAGGATCTTTAATCAATATTGATTTGTCAGAATATCTGAAAATAATTTATTGACTTGTTGGTTCCGTGCAAGGCGCTGACCCAAGAGCCTCACTGTTGTTCTTGTTTCAAAAATTTTAAAAGCATCCAGCATCGCCAGTTTTGAACGGATGTGCAGGAAACTTTGTACACATAAACTAGGGGACTTTCAACAAACGTTCATTGCCCTTTTTTTAAAAATTAGAACCCAGGGTGCCCCCTACACCTACAAAACAGACCAGGGGTTTCAGCAAGGAAGTCCATTACAGCCAGTACCACTAATATGGCATGTCGCATGGATAGCGTATTCGGTTAAGGATGTGTTCCAAAGAACTCAAGGTTGTGAGTTTGAATCACATCTTTGTATTAATTTTTTTTTTTTTTTCCATATTAATTTTTTTTTTCCAATTATAAGAAATTTTATTTTTTTTAAATTTCAAGATATTTTGTAAAAGTTCGTACAAATGAACATTCTAATTACCGTATTTTAAAAATTCGATCTTATTAGCTCTTCCAAAAAACCCAATATAATGACTTGCGCCTGTACCATATTTAAGCGTGGAGGAACATGCAGACTGGTGAGTGGTCGCTCTTGGTAAAAAAAGACATAGACTCTTGTCTATTGACTGTTGCACACTGATTCAGGTTATAATAATCTTGGCAATCAACATTTTAATAATTTTTATGTTTATTACATATGTGAAGTCATTAAATGAGCTTAAGTAGCAGAAGTATTGTTAAAATGATTCAATCAATATTTAATGATTCAATTCGTTAATCAATATTGTTAATATAATTCAATCAATATATAATGATTCAATTCATTAATCAATGATTCTATATTTTGTTATTTGTAAGTACCAGTAGAGCCAGGCACTTGTACATTATTAACAAATTAAATATTCCCAAAGCTGGAAAAGCATTTGTTCCAATTTATCCTGTTCCCGTCTGTTCTAATTTGAAAGGAAATTGAGTAAATGAAATGAAATCTACAACTTCTTAAAAAGGAATGTTAATAATCTGCTTAAATCAGAAACTCTTTATTTAAAGTGGTCACAGGTTTCAAAATTAAAATTTCAAACAAAAGCTTCATCTTCTGTAATTGTAATCATAGCCTTAACTTGTTGGATAAGATTTAGCTCTGCTTTTCATTCTTCTATTGGTGCAATTTGATAAATTTTTGACCAATATTAATGTAGTTAATTATCATATAAGTATAAACTAGGTAAGATAATATAATACATACTCCAAGTATTGAAATGCACGCCATCGTGTTGGGATTCAATATTTCGACATTAATTATGTCATCATCAGGAATGATGATGACATATTTAATGTTGAAATCCTGTATGTATTATACTAGATAATCTGAGATTCAGTATAAACTAGTGTTTTATTTTTGGCTTTTAAAATTTTATTTTATTTTAATAGATTTTATTGGGTGTTTTTGTGTAGGTCTGACTATTTTTTAGTTCTGTAATACAGAGTCCATTGAGTGTTCTAAACTTTTGATTATTTTCAGGGTACTGTTGTTCTAATTATTTATTGTCTCAGATTTGAGTTGTTGAGCAAAAAAACATCACAGATGAAAGCTGAATTAGGGAAGGGTTGTAGGCAATGGTTTTAAACATGTTGTGTTAGGATAACAAGATTACATGTCTCTGTTTATCATTTTGAGAAAACCAAATTTTTAGGAGTTCAATTACTTATGGTACTCCATTACTAATGGTACTACAAATCACTAATTAAACGTTTCATGTTTTCAAATAGATAAACTATTACGTATGTTTGTACATCATTAATTAGTGAACAATTGTAGTAACGACCTTGTTTCTCCAACTCTATTCTCCAAATTACCACTAAAGAAAGTCTTACGTAGATAATACTTTGTTCTATTTACATTATGCTTGTTTCCTTAATGACTTTATGAGTGAAACTTAATTTGCAGATAAGTTCATTTTTTTGTTTAAGTACTGTGACGCATGTACGCAAAATCGTAATTTTATGCATGTTTTTCTTCATGATGCATGAAAAAAAAACAAAAGGTTCAAAGCCATAATATGACCTTGTTGCATTAATTATGTAACAAATTTGGGATGCCCAACATTTTGTTACAGACACTTTACCTATTTTCTCTACCCAGGAGGATAAATGTGCATCTATTTTCTTGGTAGAATATTGTGGCATTGGCTGTACTAAGTACTGTGCTAGGTACATGCACACAACTAGATATACCACTCCTCTTAAACCAGAGGAATTTGCACTTCGTGCTAGTTTGCCGTTTATGTTATTCAGTGACCAGGGGTAATAACGCTCAGCACTTTTCCTCTTTCATTTGGAATTGGCACTATATAAATCTTAAATAAATATCTTTAATTATCATGTGAACTGTTCAATGCATTGATGTTTGTATATATGTTTGCTAATTGTTACTTTGGACTGTTAAATTAAAACATTGATCTGCTCATTTTAATTTTTTCATTTCCTATATGTTGTAAACAATGGTGGCGGCGGAAATTCCCTAACAGGGAATTGAAGGTCCCCGATAAAAGGTCCAAGATCACCAACAGGAGGTCCACACCCACTTAGACAGGGTCTAGGGTTCTAAGCTTTCAACGAGGCACAGTTTATTTAAAGCAGTTAATTTTTCAATGACATTTCAAAGAATATAGGAATGAATATGCATCCATTAATCAGTGTTCTCCCAAAGTTGTTTTAGACATCAATTTTACCGGTAAAAATAACTGACCAACCAGTAAAAATTGTGTGTTGGTAGAATAAGAAAAGCACTTATTAGGCCTAGGTAGCCTAGGCTGGCCTTCTTTCAATATATGAACATCATTCCAGTCTAGGCTATGATTATATGTATTGTTTTTTGAAGCCATTGCATTCTACTTAAAAGAGGCAATATCTCATGTTGCACGCACTTAGCTGGCTTTATATGGACAAATTTACCAGTAAAAATTTTTCAATAGGGAGAACACTGATTATTTAATTGGCAATTATTCTTTTTTATTCTAATTTTCAATTGAAAGCTATAAACCTATTTAAATATACAAAGTAAGCAATTCAGATAGAGAATTTTATTTTTCAAGTTTATGAGCTTAGCACAGACAGCATACTGTATCTTTGAGCCCGAGCCTTGTGTGCTGGCAATGTGCCAATTTCTGGGTAATTTATCTCAATTATGTTGAATTGAAATCAATTGATTTCCACTACTTCACATTCCCTTTCCGCCTCCCCCATCTGAATGTATCGTACGTTAGTTAGACAGAAGCTCTACTGAGGTTTTCGACAAATTCAATTTCAAGGGTCTGACAGCTCTAATTATCATCACATACATCTGCCAGGAAACGATATTTGTATTAATCAATTACATTACAATTGATACCTATTTCTTTTTTCCATTCAGGTTTTTATGCGAAATTTCTAAAAAACGCTGTATTATGTTTGTAGAAGAGGAAAAAAAAAGAAACAAAATTCATATAATATTTTTAAAAGGGATACACGGCACTGGCAATGTTAATTATTACCCCTGGAAAATGGATCCACATTATTATATAGGCAAACAAGCACGAAGTGCAATTATCGTCACTCCTTGGGATGGAATATACTTGCATGCTTTCAATTTAAAGTAGCACAGACCAACCAATGCCACATCATATCTGGTACTACCCACTTATATTCTGGGTGGAGAGACAAATACAGTATAGATAAAATGCCTTGCCACAAGCAAAATTCACAACAAAGGTTTTAACCCTGTCCCCAGGGATTAGAGAATGAAACACAACCGATGCGCCAACCGCTCCTTTGTAGCCTACTAATGTATTATTCAAATGTATATAAAACAAGATACTAACACCTCAACAAACGCTAAAACATCAAATCCACTCAGTCTGTTGTCATAGTTGGCAACACTTCCCTCAAAGAGTTGTACTACGAATGGCTTGTTGTGGACGGGATGAAGGTACTCTGTTGTCAGTGGTCTGATGATGAACTTGCTACCTTCCAAGCATGAGCTGTTAACATCTACTCCGATCAAATGTTGAAGTGTTGCCTCCTGTTTCAGTTTTCTTAGCAATTTGCACTCGCCACACCCCATATCTATTACCTGTCAAGGATCGTTTTAATGAAAATAAAAACAAAAGCCATTTCATTTCATAACATTTCAGAGGAAACAGCCAATGGCATCTGCTTAAAATGGTTTATTTTAATCTAATTATATACTCTAAAATAGGGCACTGGGGGAATCCGGATCTCACCGACACCCCTAGATCTGACCCAGTGTGTGTCAAGGATTAGTGAAAATAGAACCATTACCAGTGACTTCTTTCCCATTAGCTGCAATTCATGGCCCTACCAGAAATTGCAAGTCCATTCACTAAGTTGGAGAGATTGGCCCTTCTTAAAAAAATTTTAACGACACCAGTATTATCTAAAGGGAGAGATCAGATGAGTAGAGCAACCAGAAGGTTCCTTCTTTTTTTAAATTTACTGTATTCATTTATTCACAATATTTAACCAGGGTGGCCCAATCAATCAAGTAGACTATATTGGGGTCCTGGGTACAACAGTTTTTAGATAATGCAGTATAAAACATTTAACGAAAATACAAATATAAAATAAAATTGTAGAAAATAAAAACTTCTGTGTCCCAAACGAATCTTCAGCACTACCCCACCCCAATTCTATATCCATTCGATCTGCTATTGGCATATATTCAACTCTACCTTTGATGCTTGGTGCTTCCTCACAACTTCTATGACTGCTGAATAGCGCTGTTGGTAAAGGGGAGGTGAGAATGATACATCGCCATGGCAATCATTAGCTGAACTGCTGCTGGTAGTTCTTGACAAGCCTGTTTCTACCTCTGCTAAATCTTTTGGAACAGCCATCACCTACATCTGCTTATAAAACAAACATTGAATTATGGATTGTTTCTTTGCATTTATTTTTAATGATTTGTGCTTTCTTGTTGCAATTCTGCATATAATATATTAAATAAGATAGTATAATACATACTCTTAGTATCAAAATGCCCACCATCTTGTCGGGATTCAATATTTTGACATTAATTATGTCATCATCGCCATCGTGTCGGGATTTAATATTTCGACATTAATTATGTCATCATCAGTGACTTCATCTAAATTACCTTCACCCACCCATGAGTATGGCAACACACCATGTTTGAAACCTAGATGCCAACTTTGCACCATTATCACTACAAACACCTTTCAAGATTTTTTAATGATATATGTGTGCCGATGCACCTTTAAGTTTTATATATATATATGTATATACGTATATATATACATATATATATATAACTCAATGAAAAAGACGATGAGATGTCAACGACTTGGTAGACTTAGAACACAAATTTTATTCAAAACATGAATATTTCAACCCGTCCTCGGGTCTTCTTTAGCAAGTGTGTGACACGTGGATTAC